GCATATTTGAATAAAACTTTGGTTAACTTAAGGCCTTAGAAGTTTTTTTTTTTTTGTTTTTACTATTATTGTCTATGTATCTTGGTTTACGTACAAAGGCCACAGACAACTGTTGGCCGTTGGCAATTGTTGTTTGTCGTCCTCAAACCTATAGAATATATTCGCATACTCGACGCAACAAATCTTTTTTCGTTCTGTCAGTGATGTAATGAATGTATGTATATCTTAATACTTTAGTTATTTTGTTTATTTCTGTGTGAAAAGTTAATTTTTATTTGATTTAATCCACTTGTGGTGGTTAGTTGCTTTCCGTTTCTTTTACTTACTTTCTCTCTCCCTTTCTCTCTCTCTCTCTCTCTTTGTCTCTTTGTCTATTTAGTAGTATCCTCTACTTTATGAGTCATTTCTTAACCTGCTTTCAGTATATTTTTGTTTGTTTATTTGTTTATGTATAGCTTTTGTGTGCATAAAAGTTTCATTAAACTTTTCCAAAAGGTGTTTATAGTCTTTTGTCCATATAAAGCGAGTCGGTAGAATAGGGAGAAGACTTACGAGAAAAGTTGTGATTGCAAAAGTTTTCTTTTGCTTAAATTTTGCTTTGTTCTTGTTCTTGTTGTTGTGGTTGTTGCTGTTGTTGTTGCTGTTGTTGCTGTCGTTTATGCTTCTCCCATTGCTTGCTGCTGCTGTTAGGGCAAAAATTAAAACTAATTATATTTGAAATTTATCATGAGTCCATTTGCAAATAAGAAAAGTCAGGGATTTGTTTATTTAATTTGGTTGCCATTCAAATTGAAATAAATGTCGGTGACCGAATCATTCACGCTAACTTTTCGAATAAAAATTTAATAAAATAATTAGATGTTACGCTAAATAAAAATTATTATAATTTAAACTATTAGCGATATGAAGTTAAATAAAGCGAATTCAATTATCTAAATACATCTGCTCTATAAGAGATCAGTTGACTGCTTGTAGGGATTATCGTGAATGTAGAGAATGCATTGGTAAATAGCTGCAAATTTCGAGACTTGAAGAGAGAACATCCAGCGAATTATTGCATTGGCTTCCTTTTGTGAATTGCACAGAGCAAAGAGTTAGGTCACTGATATCCTTTATTTGCTGGATTTGTTCGCTTTTTTTTAAGCGAACGGAATATTAAAAACCTTTTTTTTTATAAAATTAAATTCTACTGAAAGTGAAAACGAAATTCGCCTTACTATGTACTATGAGTTCCTATTCTTGCGGTTATGTGGAACTATGGCACAGCAGCTCCTGCGCAAAACAATCGCATACTTGGATCTAGTATTTCTATGTAGCAGACTCAGCCGCAGTAATCGGCTGAGTTTCCAAGTTTCCTCCAGCTGACTTTGAGCAATAATTACGAACTAAAGAACACCGTTGACAATATGACTCATGCTTCACGAGCGCTTATGAATTATCGTTGAAGATTGGTTATAATAGCAAGGGAACAATATCAACTAAAGGGAAAGGAAAAATGAGAGTGGAAAAAGATAAAAGGAAAATGAAAAAATTGTTTCTCTACAAATTTCGTTCGTGACAACTTGATATTCTAATTTTTAAATTAATTTATCAGATGAAGCATTTTAGCTAAGCATCGTAAGATAAAGTATTTTCCCTGAAATTAACTCAAATTTGCGTTGGACAAATTGACTTTTTACCACGATTCGCGCCGACATTTAACGCACGCTTTCCTTTCGATGGAATTTGAAGATACAATGCCCTGTTCTTTAATCTTCCAACCCCATGTCATTGATTAATTTTTTTGCCAACAGCTTTATGTTAACAAAAAGCTTCAATACAAGGGAGTCCTCATATAGAGTAGTTCGAGTTCGCGAAATTACCTCAGGATTTGAAAGCTTATCAAATCAAACGCTCCCTTACAAGACAAATATTTTTTTCAATACAAATTTTTAGTCGCTTAAAATTATATCTGTAGAAGTCAAGAATTGTTTCAAGTTTCAAAGAAACTATGCTTAGACAAGCTGTCTTAAAAGCGAAATCACCCGTTTGTTGTTAGCGCTAGTGTTGGCATCTAAATCAACATCTAAAGCGCACTTGGTGTAGGTTCCATAATACAAAAATGGCGCTTAAACTATGGCGTGTGTTTGCCGTAACGCACAAGAAGGCAAATTAGAATCACTTCTTGCTCAGCTTCATACGTGTAAAGTCATTTTGAGGTATCAATGGCCGTGCATCTATCTCATAAACTTAAGAACATATGTATGATAAAAAGAAAATTAATTTTGTTTTTTTTTTATGCTTAGAATACTTGAAAGAAAATATTCATGAAAAATATACGTATCTTTTACATGCTGATGACATGGGTATTGGTAATTGAAACTTAAAAAGAAGACTCAATCTTTTATACTCTTCATAAAATGTTTAATAAATTTTCACAATTGAATGAATTATGTTATTACTATGTGCATGTTGTTGTTGTTGTTGTTGTTGTGCGATATTCTCACCTGGAGTTTTTCGAAGCAAGAAGAAAAGGAGAAAACTTTAAATGTTATTGAATTTTATTTATCTTTACGACACAATCGATTACTGTAAAAGTGTGCAAGTAAGGAGATGATTAAATTGTAATGTAATTATCGCGAGCAACAAGAAATGTCATTTCCTTCTATGTTTGCGTGTGCATTACACTTAACTTTTGGTTTCAGTCGGTTTTATTTTTTTTTTTATTTTTTCTTCTTTAAGATAATCGAACATTAAATGCACCTGCCTTACAACTTGGTTACTATGTCATTGTATGTGTGCCGTTTGCAACGCATAGTTTGCTACAATTGCCGTTGTTGTCGGAGTTGACGTCATTTTGGCGTCAGTTGACTTAATTAACCGTCTTGCAAGTAATTAATTTAAACTGAACAAAAAAAAAAAAAAAAATTACACGAACTTGGAAATGTTTTCCTTTTTTTCCCCTTCTTGTTTCTTGTGCGTCTTTTTTTTTTAGTTTTTTTGTTTTTGTTTGGTTAATATACTTAGCTGGTGTTGTTGTTTTTTTTTTTTTTTTTTGTAAGTCTAAAATTTCATTAATGCTTAGAAATGTGTTTCTTCGATTTAATATTGTTTTACAAACGTTGGTAGCAGTAATAGGTAGGAGTTGAATTTCTTACCGCCTTCTTCTTCTCATGTACATTCAAATATATATATATATATATATATTCTCTTTATATATTGGCAATTAACTTTTCTAAAACAAGGTTAATCAGTTTCGTCTGTTTCGTGGGTACATAAGCCCAAGGTCCGGTAAACCCATGATAGGTAGTGGAAAGACTTCTTCAGTCCTTGTGAATGTACAGCAGTTTGACACGGTTTTGAGCTTGGACTCACAAGTTCAAGATTATGTAATTTGCAGTTTTTTCCTTATTTGACAATTGCTTGAGGGTGAATCAAGCCTATTCTCCAACTTAAATTGCGATCACAAAAAAAGCCATTCGTATATCAAATTTAATTTTCTTACGTGATAGCGGTTTCGTTCCATAAATAAGAAGTGGGCGGAAGCATGCTTGTTCCATAAATAAGAAGTGGGTGGACGCGTGCTTGTTCCATAAATAAGAAGTGGGCGGACGCATGCTTGTTCCATAAATAAGAAGTGGACGGACGCATGCTTGTTGCATAAATAAGAAGTGGACGGACGAAATGCGAATACTATGAAATCAGGAAATTGGTTTTGCTTTTTATGGGTTGGTAGCAGTACCTATGGAGACATTCAGTATATTGCTGTAGGTTTTTTGGAAAGGTGATTTCTAACTGCCAAGACGTCATGGAACGGATCATTAGAAAAGATGAGATATAGATCTATGCATATGATCGGAAAAGAATTGATAAATCGAGTGAATGTCATGCAGAATGTCCACCAAGGCGCAACGGATGCATCAAAGTCGACGCTACGTTGACAGTTTTCTTCAAGTGTCGCATTGCTTTGCGCAATTTCACCCTTCAAGCTAAATAGTTAACGAGTGTTAGGAAGACAAAAGTCGCTTAATTTTTTGATAACCGTAGTATGTTATTTGCTACGCGTATTTCTGCGCGTAGCAAAATGAAAAGGATATCTTTCGGCGATGGTTTTAAAACCATCAAGTAGAAAAAACATCAAAACTGTTAGATAGGTTAGATACTAAAAAAAAAATCCTCGTCTGCCACATAAATAATAATCGCTTCAGTGTTGTAAAATAGAAAATCGAATTAAAAACGCAACCCTCGCATCTCAGTCTCATCGTAGCATCGTAGATATGTTTGCATGAAACTTGCACTTTTTTTTTTTTTTGGAGTACGAATGAATTTGATATCAAAAATTCGAAATTTTTTCACAAACGAGCAGCAAGCATTCCCCTATAAAATATCAAAAATAGTTTCTTCTTAGATCGTTTTGTTGTTACTGTAATTTCCTATTAAGTCAGCATTAAAATGTCAAGCACTTAACTGATAATGTTCTCTGCATTCAATGTGTAAACTGTTGGTCGCTTTCCCTTCTTGAATGTTGGCGAGAGAAGAATCATTTAAGAATTTTTGTTTCAATATCTGGACGATTTAAACTTGTATAGCATATTATTTTGAACGTCATTCGAACGTTTTTTGTGTTCTTTTTCTTCTTTTATTCGAGAAATGCTTAAGGTATGCGCATTTCAATTTAATGGCATGGCCCCCCAAATATAGGATTAAAAGATTAAATATCTTTTGTGGGGTCAGTAATTATCTACTGTGTCAAGCTTAGGCGGACGAAGCAAAGGCATCAATAGATTGCGTAACAATTGTTGTTTTGTTGTTGTTTTATCGAGCCACGTCTTCCTTTATTTTAAAAAAGGTGACTTAACATATTTAGTACATTTCCTTCAATGAATGGCGGTTGGGGTGTAGAAGGAAAAGAAATAATAAATTAATTAAATTTTTTTTGCCTTTACTACGTTTTATGCTTGTTTTCAATTGAAATTTTTATGTTTACATTTTCGTTTGCTCTTTTTTTTTTTTCATTGCAGTCCCACCGGTGCCACGTTGCGTTCACCATTTCAAATCAAGGATTACTTATTGTCACCGGGTACCTGTAAATGTGGTCTGCCATGTCCATTACGACCGGAATATTTCTTCGATTTCAATGTTCAGGTAAGTTTCCATTATGTGCGACGACTCTTTTCTGTATGCGTATATGTACGCGTATGTATGTGTGTGTATATATTTATTTGCTTGTACGTATGCATATTTCCTATTTTTTATGTTTGTTCGCATTGTTTTTCATTACTTTCTTTACGTTGGTGTGGTTTGTTATTGCTCTTAATTGGTTTAGAATTTTATTAAAGCAAATTGAATTTTAATTGAATTTGGTTTTCCAATCTTTTTTTCTATCCTGTAAGGGTTCACCTTGATGGAAAAAACGTATCGAATCGAGAAAAAAAAAAAAAGAAAAGAATTTAATTTGTTAAATTTAAATGTAAGTGCACTTTTTTGTACAAAGTCTCGATTGATTGAATTCATCGAGTTTGTGTCTTAAGGGAGATATCTGTTGAAAGCCATAGTCAGATTGTCTTATGGGATACTTGAGGGAAAACGAAGGTGTATCTGCTGGTGTCAGAATTTTAGTAAAAGTTAAAATGTATTGATAAATAAATCCTTTCATTATCAAAGCTATAGGTTTTTGTGTTTTTTGTGTTTTTTTTATTTTTTTATCTCTTTACTTTTTGTCCCAGGTGTTTTTTTTTACTATTCATTACTCTGAAAATAGTTTATACCTATTAATGCTTTCCTTAACACTACTACTAACGTATTTGATCGATAGTAGTTTAAGTGCTGCTATATATCTTTTAATATTTCAAGAGTGTTTAGCAGTTAATCAAACGCTTCAAACTATTGCTACCTGAATTATATCACAATACATAAACAAAATTAGCTTTAACCCTGCTCATAGTTGCACAAGTATTAGTGATTAAGTATTACATTTAAAATGTCGTGCAATTAGCTCTTGGCTGGCTAATGATGGTAACAGTTGCTGCTTTACTAAGACTTTGAATGAACTTTGACCGGTTAAATGCTTCTAATTTCTGCTACTTTAGTGCCGCAACTGTGCTTACTTCGTGGAATGTCTATTATAATGTGCACATTGCGATCCCTGTCAGCCAAATACGTACTAATGTGAAAATAACGCGCCATATATAAACGAAAGCCATATTTACTCATCAAGAGTTTGTTAGACTGGCACATCAAGAGAACATTTGCAACTTCAGGCAAGGGATATTCTCGCGAGGTTTCGTTAAGTGTTGCTGGCAACTTGTAAAATAATGGAAAAAAACTTCAAGTTGAGACGTACCGGCGGCTCCTATTGTAAAGTTTATTCGGCGGCTTTCTTTAAAAAACTAAAAGCCTTAACATTCACGCACTCTCAGAATATCCGCTGTAGTGTAGCCAGTTAATTGCTTTAAAGTAACAACACTACGCATTTGCTTGTCGCCAGACACAACATCTACCAAACTTACACTCCCAGTAGCTATTGATTGCTAAATCTCTTCCCGACAGGCGAATGCCGGCTTTCAGTAGGTAGACGAAGGATCTTGGAGATTGTACTAAAATCTCGTATATAAATACTTTTAAGTTTGATGAGAGTTATATCAACTGTCTTTGTCCAAAAATATGATATATATTTTATTTGACTCTGCAGTCCTGATTCCATCTTTTTCATCTACCGCTAAATCCTTAATTATGTTGCAGAAAAGTCGTAAATAGATGTCTTGGTAAAAAAGAGATTGAAAAAAACTATGTTGGGTCGCGACACACCGTGCAACACACTCCACTTTTCTAAAAATATTCGTATAACGAGTTTTTAAAATAATACGTTATATGGGAAGTGGTCGAAAAAGTGGTCCTATCTGAACTGTTTTCACTGACGTCCGCCTTTGGGCTAAAACGCACCGATATATCAAATTTCATCAAAATATCTGGAAAACTGCAACATTTAAGTTGGACTTTGTGTAAGCAACGGGTAGGAATGGAGAGAGTGTAGAGGATTAAAAAAAAAATGATGAAAGTAATGCTTTACTGAGTATTATTGCTCCAATCATTGGCATTTTTAGATTTCTTTATATTTTCCTATGATTTTCTATTTTATAAGATATTTACAAGTACGTCATTAATAATTCGATTTTTGTTATTAATTACCTTGTAAGGTAATGTTGTTTAAGCCCTAACAATTCTTAAAATTGACGAAAAATGTATTTATATCATAACTGAGTTGAAAACTTGAAATGATTTACCTTGTTTGGACGAATTTTGTCTCAACTGAAAGAAAATGCAATTATAAAAAAAAAAAAAAAAAGATGCCGTGTACATGAAGGAATCGCTAACATCATTATTACATTTCAATCAATTTTCAGTAGTGCGCCATGAAAAGTGTGGATTATAAGATCTTTTTTAAAGGTTGTGCATGTGTATGTCGTCTTTCTTTCTTTTTGTTTTTGTCTTGATATGTTTTGTAACTCGATTTAAACAAGTCATTATAAGGCACTGGAGGAGATAAATACAGACATTGTGTAATTGTGTTCGGGCATAGTAGCGTAGTAGTCCTTGTAAGAGAAACAAAATAAAAAAAAAAAAAAAAAAAAATCGCAACATGGAATACGAACATGTATTCGCATTTATTTATGTATGTTAAGCTAACAAATTGTCAAGGAAATGAAATGAATGTGACACCAGAGCAACAGAATGAAAACAAAAACAAAAAAAAAAAGAAGAAAAACGAAAAGTTGAACTGAAAACGCGACCAGAGTAAAAATACAATAAAATACATATAAGAAACAACAACAACAACAACAACAATAAATGCATTGTGCTTCAATAAACAAGCTTTTCAAAGACAATAAAGACGAATAAAGTAAAAAAAAATAAAAAAATTGCCAATACAATCGTTATGATGCATACAAATATTCGCAAGAAAATATATATACATGCACACACATATACACACATATACGCGATCTACACACCTTTAAACATGCAGATACTTACCCGAGATGCAGAGGACGACATGCGTTATGTGTAGCATTGAACAAATTAAAGAATGTACAAGCAAAACGCGCTGAGAATTGAACACACGGAGATACAGTGCGTAGATAGAAGAGGATATGTGTTTTTTATTGTTTCTTTTTTTTTTTCTTCTTATCGTTCGGTAAGCCAAACACATATACATACATATACAGTAACTAACCATAGTTACTGATCCGTACATCCAACAGCATAACAGCATTGCAAAGCAAACTTCAGCTTTAGTACAGGGTGGAGGGGGAAGAAGCTAAAGTGATAGAAGAAGGTAAGGTAGAAAAAAAAAAAAAGGGCAATACCAGTTGACAAACTGGTTTAACTGATTTCATGTTCAATTTTTGTTGTTGTTCTTGTCTGTTGCTTTACTACATGAGTTCTGTTTCCTCTTTCCATTTTACTTGCATTTGCTATAGGTATGAGTGCGTATGTATATATATATATATATGTATATACGCGTGTATTTGTATGCGTATGCGTGTCCGCGTGTGTGTAAGTTGATGGTTTTATCAATTTTATTACCTTTTAATACTTAATTCCCTTAGCCATCATAACTTGAAACACGGTTTATTATAAGCCCATCTCGCCGAGATGAAATTTTATAAAACCTACACAACAGTACCTGCACTTATTTATATATATATATATACATATATATGTATATATATATATGCGCATATGCGTGCATATATACATACATGCATATATATATATATATATATATATATATATTTATATATTTGTGGATAATGCAGCAGATATCTTGTCCTTCATATATGTTACTCAGTCGATGGCGAATGTTGTAATGTTAAATTTTCCATTGTGCAGTAACTTGGTTGTGCACTTTTTTTCTTTATATGCTTTTTTTTTTTTTATTTTTTTTTATGTATACTTTTCTGTTTGTGTAATTGACAGCCTAGCATGGTAATGGTAATTATATTTATGATGTTGTGATGAGTCCAATGGTTCATTGCATTGAATCCGACCGAATTGTATTGGGAATGAATGGCTAAAATAAAACAAAACGAAAAAGAAAAAAAAAAAAAACAAAAAAAAAAAACAGAGGAAATCGCAAACAATCCAGCCATCACATCCAGCAACTTGAATGCTGTAATATTTACATGGATTTTATGCATTGAGTCTATAAAATGATTTATCGCATGTAATTATTTTTAATTAAATATGTTTTCGTAATTGGTATTATTAATGAAAGCACATGTTTTAATATCGTTTCATATAATTATATGAGAAAAACAAATTTAAATTTGCATAGACATCTACATGACAGCCTATGCGATGCAAAGGGGACGGAAGAATAACTTATAGCATAGTAATAATGCATGTTTTGTTAAACTGATTTCTCCACATATTTTAAAAACGTTTTTAATTTTTCATCAACGGTTTACATCCTTGTTTACCTCCATTTACGACAATTTGATTTGACTTGACTTGACTTGACTTTACTCTTATGATTAAATGTTGTCTTCTTAAGCATTTATCCATGGAATACAAAGAATCCGAAATAAATGTAGAAAGTACAACAGAGAGATCAGCTCGTAACCCCTAAGCTGATTACAAAAAAAAAAAAAAAAAAACTTTCTAATCGCATGACACTATTAGATTAATGCGATTGATTTCTCTTATTGATTGCTTACAATGTTTTGATGTCCACTCTTCTCGCGTATTTCGCATTTAATTAATTTAAAGAATTTTTGCATTATGCTCTTGCTGTGACCAATTTTCTCGGTTTATTTACTCAGTTTATTTACGTGAAAAAGCATTGCATTTTTTATATTGAAATAATATTTCAAGTATTCCGTTGATTAACGTCCTTATTATGACTATAATATTATACAAACATTATCAGTTTATTAAAATATTAATGAATAATTAATGGTTTGTTTTAAAACTTAATGAATTTTAATGAACGCATGATTTCTCCCATGCTCTATATAGAGATCATTCGTTTTAGAGGGGAACAAGTTAATATAATTCGCTCTTAACGAAGTTTATTGAATATTTATTGCATTTTTTTTTTTTTTTTTTTTTTTTTTTTTTTTGCTTTTTAAACAAAATTAATT